GGGCGTGGATGAAACAGGTGAAGGGGATGAAGAGTACACGAACCTTGATGAGCACTGAATAATGATAGAATTGTTGAATTATTACATTGTATCCCAGAAACTAATTCAACACTTTATGTTAACTATACTGGATTTAAAATAAAATAAATAAAATAAACTATTCCATTTCAATTTTTGCTGATTTTGTCAATGTAATAATAATCATAGTGCTAATATAAATAATTCATTGAATACTTTCTTTGTGCCAGCTCTCATGCTTTAAATGCATTATCTCATTTAGCACAAAGCCCCTCAAGGTAGGCACTACCATTATTCCCAATTTAAAGATAAGGAAATCTAGGCACTTAAAAAATGTATTATGTCTAAGGCCATTTAGATTGATCTATCCAATTTTTTTTTTCTTTTTGATAGTATTTTCATTAACCCTATAGTTGGTGAGAGTTGGAAATAGAGGAAAGAAAATCTGCATTAGAAGAGTTTCTGTTGTGCATTACATTACATTTTGAAGAGTAAATGACTCTCCACTTTAGGATTGCTATATAGTTTTACCTCCAGACCTTTCATTATATAGTCAAGACACGTATTGCAATTTTGCAGAATTTCAAGGACTCCTGCAGAGGTGGTTATTCGCAAAGTATCCAGTTTGTTTTGTATTTTTAACATTATTTCTCTCCACATGGAAATCACATGAGAGAAGAGTTTTGCTTCTGCTGGGAGCTGCCTTTAGAAAGAAAAGTAGAGATAATTTTATCTTTTGAAGTTACTATAATTAAAATCTATAATCTAAATGCATTTTCCACAGAATATTGTTCAATTTTTAAAATGTTATGACCTGTTTTATTTTTGCTGATCATTAGTTGAAGATAGTTTATAGTGTTTACTATGTATGGTGATGTACACGGTAGGAAATACCAGGATAAATCAGACATGCGTCCATCATTTAACAAGATTATACTTAGTGAGAGGTGTAAGATAGGCATACACAAGTTCTACATAAAGTAAAAGTGACCTGTGTCCTAGGAAATGTAATAAAACAAAGGCTACTGAAATTCTAGAGGAAATGGGATCTGGAGAGTGCTTCTTGAGAAGAAGCTACTGATCTTGGAGAAGCGATTTTTGGCATTAGAACTGCCCAACGTCCCCTAGAGGGCACCGTCACCTGTGCGTGAGCACCTGTGGTCCCCGTAACTGCGTGTTCTCGTACTTCTCTGCTCTGCTACTAAAGGATGCTTCAGAGCTCTCCAGAGAAGAGGTGAGGCCTAGTTTCTAACGCCCCAAGCCCCAGGGCAATCAATACACGTCAAGCTCTTCCACTAGCCCCCTCCCTTACCCCCCGCCAATTATCCCAGTCCCCATTTTGGGCGATGGGCCTAAAAATTTCTTCAACGCAGTAAAAATCCTACTGGGGAGGAGCCTTCAACCTCCCCTCTGTTGGGCACCCTCCCAACACCCACAGGAGGCTCTGGTGTGACCTCACAGTGAGTATGGTGGGAGGGGAATGGACAGCATTCCCTTTGAACAATTCTCCTTGCTAATGAATCTCTCTTCCCCTTCCTCTTTTTCACACCCCCCCCGGTAGGAGTGCCCCCCATCCTTCTCCACTAGTCAAAGGCAGGTCCATTACAGATCCGTGTCTTCTTTCCTTTAGCACTCTTGTACAGGACTCCAGCAACACTTCATTAAGAGCCCCCTTTTCTCTCGCAAATCCTGTGAAGAACAACTTGGTGACATTCTGAACTAGGGGTCTTATCTTTCCATCAATTAAGAAATCTTTAGGAAAGAGTAATATTGAAGTTCGAGTTTAAGGCAGTAAGTTGTTATAATCACAAAGGGTACATTCCTTAGGTATGTGGTTTCACCTCTGGGAACTCTAGAATAACTATGGATAGAAGAAACTAAAGCATTCATATGACAAGAAATACACATGTATAACGAAAATGGATATTGTTCCCTGCAAAGCAGTACTCGCATCTAAACAGTTTTCTTTTGTGAGCCTCTCATAGCTCCCCTTTGCCCCTAAAATAAAATTCACAACAATTAACCTGATATTGAAGGTCTTCTATCATCTGCTCTAATATACCTTATAAATACACGCTCTACGACTTCCTACCTTATTTCAGAATGGCTTCTATACTAGCTTGCATGATTTATGGTCAACACTTTAAATTCTGTCCAGATAATACATGTGTCAGAACTTACGTACTATTAAGACCAGTCACTTTAAAGAGAGACCAATTAATTTGAATGCTATGAATAAAAAGAAAAGGTAGAATTTTCACCAACTGTCTTTGACCTCCATTCTTTCACATGGTCCAAAGTAAGAAACTACCATTCATGTATGAATGCTATTTAAAACATGTTTATTATTCATATCAAAACCACACTAATATTCTAGAACTAAACAGACACACAGTATTGTGGTTTAGGGATTACAATGACCTGACACTCCTTTCCCAGTCCTTAATAGTTTTATATCAATAATTGAGAAATAGGACTTTAAAAAAAAAAAAAGATGATCCTTACGATCTTCCATGAAAAACAAATTCAGATTATACTCCTGTGCCCATTGGTGGATTATTTTAGAGCGTATATTGAAGAAATGACTTCTCAGGGATTATAGGCAATAAATACCCACCATGCATTTTTTTTTAACCTCTTCATGGCTTTTTTTACCTTTGTATTTCTACAGAATGAAAGATTGGTTCAAGATAAAGCCAATTTCTTTGACAATTCATCCATTCCTCAAGAGTATGAGAGAAGAGAGTCAAGTTCTGATCCCACTCATCCACAAGATCCTATAAGATGAACACACACATTCATAAAGTCTAAAGATTCGTTTAGTAAAAATACTGACATCAAAAGTGATTATCAGTCACTGACATACAGACAGTATTATGGAGGGTCACATAAATAAATGTAAATCTAATTACATTTAGTTTTGGGAGACATTTGATATGTTCTGTCCATGCAATTTTCTGTTTTATTTTTTATATAA